ACTATACCCTAGCATCATGCTATTCGATGACCCGTGTAAATTTCCCTGCCTTGTCTCTCTCTCAAAATGCATAGAAAAACCGCCAAAGGGAACTACGAAGTATCCATAGTCTCATTACCCGCTGATGCAGCCGCGCCAGCATTGCGCTCCGCCATCTTTTGGGCAAGACGGTTCTGCTTCCAGGCTTGAATCTCCTCGCGAAGTGCATCGTTTGGAATTACGTCTTCAATCTTTAGGGGCGTACGATTAAATGGGTCATGCGGGTCACTGAGAAGATGAGACTGGATGGTGCTGCGATCGACCACCTGCTTGCTGATCGGAAGGATGACAGGGTCCTCCATGAGCGATGCCATCAGGGGATCCTCGTAGTTTTCGGGGATATCTCCGAGGTCAGCCTCGACCATATCGGCCTGATCCTTAGCTGCCTTAATATCGGCGGCCATTTTCTGCCACTGCTCCATTTGCTCGGGCGACTTGAGCTTGAAGCGCTGTAGGATCTTGTAGGCTTCATCCCAATACTCTGCGCGGTAAGATCGTCCGTCCGTGGCGACGGCATCAATGAAGGACTGTTTACCCTGTAGATTGAGATAGACATCAGTGAGCTCTGCAAGCATATTGCGTGGGTTCCACCCGTATTCCTCGGGATTCTCAACCTTGAGCTGGGACTTCTTGGGACCCACGAGAGCCTCCAAGTTGTAGTCCAACATGTGTGCTAGTCGCACAACGATTTCCTTCTTGGTAAACGAATCCGCTAGCGTCTCGGTAAAGAGCTTCAACATGGCAACAGTCTCATTGGTAAGTTGCATGTAGCTCTTGGCCTTGCCTTGTGCGGATGACAGCTTCTCCTCTTGTTCCTGACGCGCTGTTTGATCCATGTCGGCTGGAGCATTCTTCAACTCTTTTGAAAGATCGTGAATCTCCTTGAAGGCGCTGAATGATTCGTCCAAGACGAACGTGACATCGTTCAGAAGCAAGTTGACAAATTGGACGAAGAAGTCCAAGTTGACGCGGGCTTCGGTGGCGAGATGCTCACGATAAATGGGATTGGGCCAAATGCACTTGATGACCTGGAAAATCTCATACCGGATATTAAATTTGTCGAAGAATTGTGTATGGGTTCCGGTGCTTTCGCACTCAATGTAGAACTTCATAAGCGCATGTAACAGGTGCTTCATAGCGAAATCGTGCGCAAATAGCGTATCTCCCAGTACGCCCTTTGACCTCCCCGGAATTGCCCATACTCCGTGGAACAGAATGGTAACCAGTCCAGACTTCAGGTACGGGTTCTTGATGTATTCGGAACTGCGTAAAAAGGCAATGCAAATCTTAACAAGCTCCTCGCATTGGGTGGTTGTGATGATGTGAGGCATGTAGCGGGTGATGAACTTGAAGTTTCCAACAATGTCCTCGACAAAGTACTCTGGAAGACACTTGAATTGTACTGGCTGCTCCTTGGGAAGAGGCAGCTGTAGTTCCGTCTTGGGAAATGATGTCCCAGGGTTAGCAAGTCGTAGAAGCCAGACAATGACATAACGCATCAGTTGCATCGACCGAGCCTGTGTGGTCTCGTCAAGCAAAACACCCTGGATAGCCAGTATGCTGCACTTGCCCCGCTCAATCTGCTCCTTGACCTTCTTAATGTGGTTGTCGAAGAGGGCAAGCTGTGCGGGGTTTGTCATGTACTTTGGTCGTTCGGGTTCAAGTTTAGCCAGCTCCTTCTCCAGCCATTTGACGTCCTTTTGCAGCGAACTTAGCTTAGAGTTTGCCGCTTCGAGGCCATAGTGGTGTGCTGCGACAGTCAGGAAAAAGACCTCGCTGATGAAGTTGTTGGTGCCCGAAGCTTTGGTGCTGTAAAAGTCATCCGAAGTTTTTTGATCAGCGTTGATCTTGGTTTCGTCCTGGATATCGACACGGGGTGAGCGCCGCAGATAGTCGATATCAATACGATCGATCTTGGAGAAGGTGGCGTCCATGAAAGGCTCGCAAAGGCGATCGAGAATGACTGTGACGTTGACCATGAAGCCATCAGAAGAGACGGTCTTCCTATCGACCTGCATGGCACGCCGCTTGTGGTTCTTGTTGACTGTGAGTGCTAGCCAATCGAGCATCTTTTCGCGAGACTCCCTGTTCTTGATGAAGGTGTTGGTGATGTCGAATAATTCCTCTTGGTGGGTCTGTAGAGTCATGCGGACCGCGCGCTGGGCATTTGCAACAAGGCCTTTGTCAATAGCTGCTGATCCCGAGAAGTAGTTCATGGCCACCTCGGGTTGCATAGGAGACAGGCGGAAAAAGGGACCGAGGAAGCTGTGGGTTTCAATATGCTGGGGCTCAATGTCGGCGGGCAAGAAGGTCTCGGACTGTGCGAGGGCAGCGACAAGTGGTGGGAAACGAACGAATATCCGCAAAATCAACATGTGTTGTCTGTAATCACCATTCATTGAGACCGAAGCAAGACGGCGGCTCACATGTTCCATGCCGCCCACAAGCGCCTCTCTTATAGAATCGTCTTCGGCTATGCGCTGACTGGCTTCAGTAAGAAACTCGTAACAAATGCCGCGTTCATCGTCAGGACCAAGCAGGAGGCGATCTGCCATTGCATTCTCAGCAGGGGCGTCTTCACCAAACATGTCTGGCATAGTGAAAGCGAATATGCAATAACTGAAGCACAGTCGCCGAGCTTCCTTGACAACCTCAAACCTGGGGCCAGTCTTGTTGGTCAACGTCTTGAGGACTCTAGTGACGCGCTTCCAGCAGCCGAGCAGATAGTCTAATGCTGTGCCATGGGCGTGACTAGATGCCGCCTCTAATATGACCGAGTCGAGCATGTCGGTGGTAAAGCGAAGCGGGCGGCCCTCATCCTCGAGATCACTCTTTGCTCCAGCAACATAGAAGAGCTTGTTCCCATGCGAATCCCGGGCATGGGACTCGTCCAACGTTATGCGGAAAATGTTGCCAAGTGTTCTATCCTCCCATGCTTCTATGCTCATTTCCTGGGCCTTTGGGGCAGGCGAGGAGGCTGAGGCACTGCTCGAAGACTGTGCAGGCTTGATGGTGATTGGGTTCTTGGGAGGCGCATTGGGTTTGACACCTAGTTGTGAGAAAGGATTTTGGCTTTGGGCTTTGGGCTTGGGCGGTGGTGGCTGCGATTGTGTAGGCTTGGGTGATGGAGCGGCGGACGAGGCGGCTTCGGAGGGTGTTGAAGACGACTGCGGAGGGGGACCACCGAGCTTTGCAAGACGCTTTGCACGGATCTGAGAGATGTTTGCGTCAGCGGATCTCTTTGGTGGGCGAGTGGTGGGTGAGCTCACTTTGTCAGCATCGGACATGGCATCGGGGGCAGGCGCTGGGGCGGGCGCTGCTGCGGGCGCAGCATCTGGCATGGGAGTATCGTCATGGCTGGGCTGGTTTTGTTGGTTGGGATCTTGGTCGGCCATGGTGATGGCAGTAGCGGGCGGCAGAGGCCTTTTGGCAGCGAATGCGGGCGTCGGCAACAGCGAGCGTCGGCCAGGTCGGCAGGACGTCGACTAGAGCGGATGGAGCAACAGGACGTGGAGCAAAGTGAAGGGCGAGGCGTGGTGATGGCGGCCGTGATGCATTTAGTAGTACATGGATGCGGAGATAATAAAGCTAGCTGCTATGTAGTAGTATGCAGCGCCTATGTATTAGGAGTAGTAAGGGTGAGTAAATAGCAGTAGCAGTAGCAGTAGCAACAGGTGGATGGATGGGTCGTGGATGTCTAGGCTGCCCCGCCACCGGCCCTGCAGCCGCCTGCGTCGCCAACTCACGTGCCTAGTGCCCTTGGAAGCCCGACGAAGCGCGACGAAATGCTGGCTAGTATGTAGCAGTAACTGATAGGGAGCAGGCCGCATCCATCCATGCTGAGCTACTATTCATAATCCGTACATTTAGTTCTACATGCTGCCAACACCCCGACGACACACGGCACAAAGGACATGAGCAGCCAGGGTGATGACGGCACATGTGCCTGTGTGTTGCAGCCCGGATGCGCGACAGTGTACTACGTCACTTGGGTCATTGCGGGCCTGCACGTCCATGAACAAGACGGTATGCTTTCATAGATGAGCCATGCACTGTACTGCGTGCATCTATGTGCGCATGTCTTATGTGCATGTCTATCCACGTATGTATGTGTCTATGTCTAGCTATGTACCGTGCATGTGCAAAAGGTCATAGATATTCACACATACGTAGTAGGCTGGGGCAGCATGCATGGGGCGGCCAAACGCCCCCGTTCGCGCTTGGCCGTTCGCTAGGAGACGGGCAGGCTATCTGTGTTGGGGATGCAGGCTGAAACCCACTGCTGCAGCCCTGGCCGTGCAAAGAGCCCTTTGTTGTTGCTGGGCGTACGTGTCCGTCTGGCAATCTGTGAGGGAGCGTGTTTGCGTGTGTGCGTATCTCGGAGTGTGAGAGAGAGTGTGTGTGTGTGTGTGTGTGTGCATGTGCGTGGGCGTGCATTGAAGAAGCAGCATCAAATGCATGCAAGCCCGGCCCGGCGGACAACAGACCGTGTGTGTGTGTAAGTGTGAGTGTTTGGAGGTCATGTGACGACGGCCGTGGAGGACGCGGTGGGTTTAGCAGCAGGGCCGGCGATGCAGATAGCTAATCGCGCCGTCTCCTCTCTCTTCTGCAACACCACCAACCACTACCACCACTACTGCTACCACCCTTTCCCCCTCCCCCCAGAACAACTCCACCACCACTGCTGCCTCTGCCCAGCTGCCTCTGTCCAGGTACGAGCCACGTCCCTCCCCCATGACTGCGCCCCTAGCCCGTAATCACAGCACCGTGGGCGTGGCGCAGGTCGCAGCTCAGCCGCAGTCGTTGCAGCACGACCCCCGTTGCGGTCATGGTGCCCGCCAGCCATAACACCCTGAAGCCGCTGTTGTCCAACTTCAATCACCGCCTGTCCTTCATCCACACACTCACCTCCTTGCCTACAGATCTCCTTCCACGACACCGCCTACATCACACGCGACACCATGGCCGAGATTCGACGAAAGCTTGTTATTGTCGGTGACGGCGCCTGTGGAAAGACGTGTCTGCTCATGTACGTGCTCCCCCAACTACAACTACTACGACTATCACCACCACTCTACACCCATCAACCAACCCACCGCTCCACCTGCCGCTGCTGCTGCTCGACTCTGATGTTCTCTTGCTAACCTCGCTCCAAACAGCGTCTTCTCAAAGGGCACTTTCCCCGAGGTCAGTACTCCACCGCATCCCTGAGCCGCGTCAGCCTAGCTCGCCATCCACAACTCCCATCACCCATTACCGCCGCCCCATCCCCATCCACTGACACGCTGCCTGCAGGTCTACGTCCCCACTGTTTTCGAAAACTATGTCGCCGATGTCGAGGTGGACGGCAAGCACGTAGAGCTTGCCCTTTGGGATACTGCTGGCCAGGAAGATTACGACCGTCTCCGCCCTCTCTCCTACCCCGACTCGCACGTCATCCTCATCTGCTTCGCCGTCGACTCGCCTGATTCTCTCGACAACGTCCAGGAAAAGGTACGTCGCCCTGCCGTGCCCTGCACGTGTCTCCTGTTAAACTAACAACTACCACAGTGGATCTCCGAGGTCCTGCACTTCTGCCAGGGGCTTCCCATCATCCTCGTTGGATGCAAGAAGGACTTGCGCTTTGACCAGAAGACGATTGAGGAGCTGCACAAGACCTCGCAGAAGCCCGTCACACCCGAGCAGGTCAGTAGCCTACGCCACCCGCCTCATTAAATGATGAAACCATGACTAACAAGCTCCCCCAAGGCCGAGGATGTCCGCAAGAAGATTGGCGCCCAGAAGTACCTCGAGTGCTCAGCCAAGACAAACGAGGGTGTCAGGGAAGTGTTCGAGCATGCCACCCGCGCTGCTCTGTTGACCAGGAAAGAGAAGAAGACCAAGAAGTGCTTGATCTTGTAAGCGCGGCATACCGCACAAAGGTGGTCTAACCACCCCCAACCGCGCCTTTGTTGAGCGTCGACAAGCAACAATAACTGTCGCGACTATTGGGTGTGTAATAGTCGTCTATCCGAGAAAGAGGGCAAGACGTGGAAAAACATGGCCGGCCGACGTTTGCAGACGAGTCGACTCTCGACGAACTGCTCCCGGCCCATCTCTCTCTCTCTCTTTCTCTCTCTATCTCTCTCATGGCACCTACACGAGGCGTTTACTGTGCTGGATCTTTTGTGTGTTTGGACCGTACATCATCTTGGGGTAGTTCATGATGGGGGTTATCTTCTCCGAGCGTGTGGAATCGAGATTGAGCAAATGGTAGGATTTTTCTAATAATCGGTGCTTTTTTTGCTCTCTACTCCCGTGTGTCACTCTGGCAGCTTTGCCCTTTTCTTTTGACCCTCTGAACGTAGTACATGTGATGATGATGATGATGACTACGCACCACTATTCACTGTCCTTCTCTTGATGATTTGCTTCGCCTCACTCTAGGAAATGGCAGTAGTACATGTCAACCTGGATCCATGGTATTTGTGTTCTTTTTTATATAACACACGCCACTTCATGCAGTATGCTGATGCTGAAACGCGGCGTATTGCATTGACACGAGCATGAGCATGTGCATGGGCATATAGCATTAACTTGGCATGGGCATTTACTAGCGCTAGTACAGTCACGAGGCTATGACAAGTGACAGTAGTGACAGTAGTGACAGTGACAGCAGCAGCCACAGCACAAATGACAGCGGCCCCGATACTATCCAGAGCAGTACAGTGCAACGGCTTTTGCCAATTTTTTTTCCCGTATTCATCTCGATAAATATATGCATATATGTTACAGATATGTACCCACCCTCGTGTGTTATCTCCATTGTATAGTACAGCGTGAAAAACGCCCCTCCTCCATAAGAAAAAAAGTTACTTTATATGAACAATGAAATCACAGCAAGCGCTACCACGGACACTAGGGCTGATGATGACGAAAAGTGACCCGCAGCACTACTGCTGCCCTGCTGACCCTGGGACACGTTGTCCGCCATAGCAGACGAAGTGGGTGCCGCCGCACTACCGGAAGCTGTTTGGGAGACTGAAGACTGTGCACCTAGAATGACGATATCAAGTTAGCCAGATACTCGACTGGAATAGGTAAGAAGGAACAGAACATACCAGAAGACGTCGCACTCTGCGACTCAACCTCCTTCTCCTCACCCTTGACCCCCAACCCAACCCTCTCCTTCTCAAAATCAAACACCGAATACACATTCTTTAAAAACACATCGCCCACCAACCACTGATTCGCCTTGAACGTCTGTCTACCAATGATATTGCTCCTGCACAATCCGCCCTGGCCCTCTACTTTCTCCCCAATCCAATCCGCAGTCGAAATATTATACGCAACGTTATTAAACGAGAAAGCTAGCTGCGCCTTCGTATCGCAGGGGACAAAAAACGTTTCACCGTTCTGCGTATGATCTTTGACAGCCGAGTGAATAGCCTGTGCATCTGACTCTGGGATGAGGATGAACGAAGTCCCCGTATCCATGATTGCCGATCTGCCTGCGTTACCGGGAGCAAAAGAAAGAGCGTCTTTGCCGTCTACGCTCGCGCCTTGTAGTGGGATTTCCCAGAACCCTGTGTCGTTTTCTACGCAGTCGAGGTAGTTCAGGTCGCCCGAGAACCGGGTCTCGTCGATGTGGCCAATGTCCAGCGCGCCGTCTTGCATTCCGTCTTTTGCGCGGCTCAGGTGGATGCCGTAGAGTTTTGCGGCGATGACGCGGTTCGAGGTGAGGACGTCCATGATTTGGGGGGCGGCGATTTCGCCGTCGCTGGCTGCGCCGCCGCGGCCGATGCCTAGGATGCCATCCATGGGGTAGGCGCGGAATTCGTCTGAGACGTTGGTGGCAAGCCCGAAGGTTAGGGGCGAGGAGAGAGAGGTGCCGATGTGGATTGTGTCTGAGGCGAGGGTGCCGCTGGAGGAGCCGGTGCCGTAGGTTATGCTGAATTGTTTGGTGTCGGACTGGGGTGTAGTGTGTTAATTTTGGGTTGTTTTCATTGCAAATGTCTTCTCTCGACAGAGAAGGTAGGAATAACGTACCTTGAGTGTGCTGGAATCGCCCTTGCCGAACAAAGTATGTGTTTTACATGCTTCACTTTTGCAGTCTTGGCTCATGACCCAGGTGTTACTCGCTGCGGAATCGAGCAGCATGTGGTATTCCTCCTTGCTGTCGCCAAAGGTCACGGCGACCATGTAGCTGAGATCCTTGCCATCTTGGTCAATGGCCACGCTCTTTTCTTGGCTCGGGTCCTTCGAGTTGACTATGTTGTACACGTTACTCTGTCGGGAGTGTAGGCTCGTAGCGATTCGGCGCAGAGGAAGCGTGACGCCGCGTGCGGTGGTTTCCTTTGAGGATCGAGAGAGCCGTGGCGACCGTAGGGACGGCGACGAGGAAGTGCTACTGCCGTCGTAGTGGTATGGGTAAAACGCCGTTGCGCTAGGTATTATTGCTGCTGACAGAGCGAGCCATGTCGGTAGTGCTGTGTGCATGGTTTCTTATGCGTATATTTGTTGTTTGTACAGGTATCTTAAACACCACTTCTCTAACTACCGGGTTGTTTTTTGTTTTTTTTGTTCGGTTCTGTACTGTCGCGTCTTTCCTTGAAGCGCAAGAATCCCGTACTCAATCTGTTTGTCGATCCAGCGAATTATACACTTGAGCCCGACGCGTCTTGTCGACCGTGTTACGCGTGAATCCCAGGGAGCCCAAAACGAAAGCCCGGGGAGAAACAAATAAAAAGAAGAGACCTTCAAAAGGCGCAGAAGATGAAAAAGTTAAATGAAAAATACCCGGAATTGCTACACAAGACAATTTCTAATCCATCAGGCTGAGATTTCGTCGAGGCTGTTGTGTAAGGCTGGGAGCTGAGAGCGAGCTGAACAAGAGAACTAGGGTTCGCGAGTTATACCTGTATCCCCACCAGCGTTGTCGGACCCCTTTGAGCTGCAGCAAAAGATCTTCCTCTCCCAAGAAAAACAAGAAAAAAAATCCTCACAGTGGAAGAATTAACAAAAGTACGGGACCGAGCGACGCTGACCAAAAATAAAGGACGTGTGGGAAGAAAGAGAAGGGAAGTAAGAAACTAAAAGACGACACCTTCCCCTTCGGGGAGCAGGGAAGGGTGATCGGGGCGGTCGTAAGCACAGCCTCCCTCTCTCGGTAGCCCCGTCAAATGACGTTTCCGGCCCCCAAAATGCCAAAAGGTCGGTTGCGGGAAACCCATGTGTGAGCTTTGGGTGGATGTGGGTATGGGGTTTACCCCTGGACCTTTGGGGGGGCGAAGGGCTTACTACCAAGACGCCGGAACGAACGGCTTGAAACAGGCCCAGTTCCACTGCTTTGCATGCAACCAATGGTTGTGCGCAAGAGCTCTATGTACTACTACTCGGTGCATACTTTAGTGTTCAGCTGCTGGGGGCTCAATATGTGCGTAGATGCTGACATTACTGCACTAGGCTGGATCTGTGACAAGGTAGGCTAGGGCATAGAATGGGTTTCTCTCGTATCTGATGCTTGGCATATCCATACTATCTATTTGCCACGTGATCTGCTGATAAGGTGTAGTGCTTTGGCTGGTATCCTGTACATACTACTCAGCCCAGTGTGAGGTGTTTCGCAGAATTGCATGAAATATATTATTGAATTGAGACGCATCTTTGATGGGTTACTCGATATTCAGATGAGGATAATATACTCTATACCTTCGACATGTTCACCGTTTTTGAGATCCATCGCGACTATGGCAATGAAGAGCAGGTCGCTTGCGTCTGCCTTGGATGAGTACACTCTTAAGACATGTTTTCGTGCGTTGAGCGCGGCCCAGGCGTTGTCCCTGCTTTTGCAGATTTCTTTGTTGCAACGATTGTTTCGTCTGCAGAGTATGCACCGCCATTGACGGACATAAACACACGAGTCACGTCGCATGGCTCCAAGTTATTAGACTCGTACGTACCTTCAGTCCCCGCGAACACATGGCCACCGAGTTGTCCACGGCCATCAGATGCAAAGATTTCGTCGGTAAGGATATTCCCTACGTTAGAATCCTGGGTGTCCAGTAAGCTGAAGAATCGATCAATCAGTTTCTCGACGCTGTCTGGGACGGGGTGGTCCGGCCAGACTGTGTCTTTGGTGTTGCTGCCCATATTCTTCTTCTCTTGAGATGATTGCGAGATAGAAAATAATCTTCTTCGCAGCTTTGCAGCTTCGCAAGAGTCGATTCTTGCATTTCATGAGTAAGTGACAGCCGGTGGATGGTCCTTCATAAATGAGCCTGGTCCCGGATCCCGCCGCACCAATATATCAGTCCGGATTAAATAAGTTAGTTCGCCTTTGAAATCTTTTCGGAAGCGAAATATACTGTAGTAACGAATTGCAGCGTGTCGGGGCCGCGAATGTGGGATCCCCTAATCCATTCGGGTGTTCGGGAGGTATGTCTCTTCCGGGATCCGGAGCAACCCAATTCGTGCAAAGTATAGAGAACCGCTCTATGTCCCACTCAATAACTACGCCAAGCTCATTCGTAATATACAAAGTAGTTTAGAATGGTATGGCATATGAAACACATTAGTTTTCGTGGTCCTTTTCGTATCATTATTATTATTATTATTGTTGTTTTACGTCCTGTGTCAGCCCGAAGGCTATATAAGACGTGCAAGCTGATGAGGCTTACAGGTATCTACGTAGTGCTATCGATTTAGTGTAGTTAGGGGTAGGGGTTATCTAAATCGAGGTNAGGCTCGTAGCCTAGTGTCGATGGGGGTTGTAAGGGGGCTTGCGGGTAGAAGAGATAGGTAACGTAGGTGTAGGGCAAGGGCACCTGTTGTGGGTGTTGCCTTAGTTCTCAAGGTTTCCTTTATACCAGGCCTGTGTTGCAGCCTTAGTTTCCTTAATAAAGCTAATTGTAGCCTGTATGCCTGTGTCTGTGTGTAATAAGAAGGCTAGCGATAGAGGGTCCCTGCTAGCTTCTTACATCTTTACTCTAGCCTCCTGGAATAGTGTGCATCTAAGTAGGATATGTGTAGGATCTTAAGTAGCTCTATAGTTGCAGGGGCATACTTTAGAGTCTACTTTTCCTCGCTTGAAGAGGAAGTCTCTTAGGTAATAGTGTCCTAGCTTAAGCTGAAAGAAGGCGCTAGAAACTTCTCTACTAGTAGAAGGAGTAGCGATTTGCTTTCTAATTTTCTACTTATACCTTGCGGTATAAGTGTTAGGGTTAATAGTAATAGCTTTCTTTCTGTACTGTTCTAGATAGCTATACTACTCCTGCTCGCCTAGCTGCTTAATCCGTGTGCCTATAACAGCTAGGCTAGTCTTACTAGAGTTAGGGTCTAGCTTTGTTGCCTCTTTTGCTAGCGCGTCTGCTTTTTCGTTTCCTATGATATTCTAGTGGCCAGGTACCTAGTAGATCGTGGGTATTAGGCCTTTCTTCTTAAGCTTTTTTGCTGCTCTAATGTTACACGGGGTTGGGTGCTGATACTTCTCTAAGCTCGATCCGGGTTAGGGCGAGTGAGTTGGTGTGTAGAGCGCCGTGAGGTATTTGTCTGGCGATACAGTGGAGTGGGCGTGCTTGTAAGATAGATAACAATAGGTTTGAC